GTTTACTACGCGGGCGCTCGGAAACCACCACTCCAACAATGCGGGGAAATGTCCTGGAAACATTCTTTATCTTTATTCTTTATTCCAAACGAATCGGTGTCCCCTCTACGGAAGCACGCCCTCCCGCTTTCCCTCCCCTTCCACACCTCCCGCTCGGTTTCTGATGGAGTGACGCAGAAGAACTAGCACTCAGAATTAATTGTGGGGATGTTCCTGATATCACAAAAGAAGGGTGTGTTTGTTTGGTTTTGTTTTAAATACTTCCATTGTACTCAGGGTTAGGGAGCAAATCTTTTCATTCCGTTTTGCTTCTAATGTTCATTTGCTTTAAGCCAACAAGATTGTGTTATTCATGGCCAGGTCTGAAGCCCGCAGGTGGCAAAATGATGTCAATGTATTTAAAGGAGCCCTGGTGCTGCTGACCGAAAGGTGGGTGAGCTCTTGGATCTCCCCTGGAAGAAGAAAGATGCCATCACACTGACAATCCTGGAAACCCTTTTCGGTAGCTCTACTCTGTCAGAGTCACCAAAAATCGGAATCCACTCAGTTGACACTAACCTAAACCTAGCAAATTCAAATGCTTGTTCTTTTTTTTTTTTTTTTACTGAATGGGATTTTACAATGTTATTATTTCCAAATAATAACCAAGGAGAAGAGAGATGTCAATATTATGAAGTGAAGTGGGTGAAGGGAAACATCAATCAGTGTAAGGCATGAAAAAATAATAACAATTTATAAATTATCAAGGGTTCGTGAGGGAGAGAGGGTAGAAGTGGGAGGGGGAGAAAAGGTGGAGCTGATACCAAGGGCTCAAGTAGAAAGAAAATGTTTTGAAAATGATGATGGCAACAAATGTGCTAATGTGCTTGATACAATCGATGGATGTATTGGGATAAGAGCTGTATGAGCCCCCATTAAAATGATATTTTTAAGTTCATAGAAAAATCCAAATATATATAAAAAGTGTCCTGAATCTGTACAAATCTTGGTGCTGGAAAGAACAGAAAGCAATGAAAAACACTAAACAAAATACAAGTTAAAGTGTATCTTACCTTTGAGACAATAATAAAAATGTTCCTAATATTAGAAAACCTTAAACAATTATTTTCAGGCTTCTGGGAAAAAAACATCTTGCCAAACTCTATGGTGTAATCAAGTAGTTGGGTGAAAATGCATAATTAAAATTATTTTTATTTTGTTATGTTTCATTTTAGTTATCTTCTTTACTGAGACATAATTTTGAGGCAAATTAGAATGTATTGTATAATTATTCTAAATGTGGTGGAGGTTTCATGACACGTGTTTGGGCAGCAAATTCACTTAAAGTATCTGATTAATCAATTTGTCTTTATCATTAAAATATTTTTTTCAAAGGCAAAGGCTCTCTAGGAACACTCTAAAATCACAAATCGGGAGGGGGTGGGGGGCGGGCGGGATTATCCTACAACATTCTTAGTGAGACAATAATTAAGAGAATATTTTATAACAATATTAATAGAAGTTAATTTCTATGCATTCTCAGAGGACTCCTAAATAATTATTGAAGTTATATAGTTAAGCATTTGACAGATTTAATTATCTTAAACCAACACATTTGACAAACATCCAAATATTAAAAATCGTAATGTGTGAATGACAAAACCAACAAACAACATCAAAAAGCAACTCCACGACAAAAATTGCCTTTGTGGGGACTTTCCAAAAACAAGAACCCTATCAAGCCTATGGTGCTAGGGTAGGACTGCCCCCAGTTTCCGAGCAAGCACGTAACTCTTTACAGGAGTAGAAAACAGCTTCTTTCTTCAGCTTACCTGCTGGTGATTTCAAACAGCTGACCTTGAGGCTTGCAGCCCAATGCCTAATCACTAGCCCATCAGGGTTCCTTTAACCAAGGAGCCATTCAAGTTCGTGAATGAAACTGGTGGAGGAAGAACAGATCTATGGCAACCGTTTGAGATTTCATCAGAAATCCTGGCCGGCACGATTTTTCAGGCTAGGGAGAGGTGGGGGAAAGGAAGCTGGAAGGTGGACCATCGCTTTATTCGGTGCAGGCTCCTCACCTCCGAGGAAGAGTAACTCGGTTAAAGAAAACAAGTCGTGAAACTGCCCATTCCTTTGGAATGTGCCCGCTTAGCTACACGGACAAGTGGCTCCGAAATGCGCTGAGCCACTGCCTGTCCCCTTTCTAAGCAAGGTCCTGCCTTTGACGGAAGGTGTTTCTGCACAGGGTGTGAGTCTGTAATCTCCCAGCTTTTTTGCTCTTTCCCACAACTAAGGAACTAAACCCGTAAGAAACTTTGGCCTGGGCGCCGGGCCAGCCACACGCGGCAACTGCAGTGCGCCTGCGCGTCCTCTGGTGCGCCCAGGTGTAAAGCTCTCGGGACCTCAAGGTGAGACCCGAGCTGGAGAGGAGACCGGTCCGCCTGTGAACCCAGATCAGAAGAAGAGCGTTCTGGGAGCTCGCCTTCCCTCGCAGCCCAGGGGCCTCAAATGGGGCCAAACAGCGACTTTGTGGCCTCAACTGATTTCTTGGGCGCTTCCGGGTGCCAGATCGCCTCCAAAAGGTGAATGCTTAAGTGGAGGAATGTTGCCCGGCCCTGGGGAGTCCGCCGCTTCCGTCTACCACCCGACCCCACCCTCCTCTGGAATGGGGTCAATGCCACTTTGTCCTGCTGTTTCTACCCAATTTGCTATTTCAAAACCAATAAAGACTGTTTATTTGCTTGCTAGGTTTTCCCCCAAAGTGATTTCAGGTGGGTGACAACGGAAAGCTTCCAGACTTTTTTTTAAATCTTTCAACTCCCATTGTTCATTCCTTTTTTTTTTTAAAAAAAAATTTTTTTTGGGGCTCCTTACAGCTCTTATCACAATCCATCCATTGTGTCAAGCACATTTGTACATATGTTGCCATCATCATTTTCAAAACATTTTCTTTCTACTTGAGCTCTTGGTATCAGCCCATTTTCCCTCCCGCACCCTCCCTCTCTCATGAACCCTTGATAATTTATAAATTAATATATTTTTATGTCTTACGCCGACCACTGTCTCCCTTCTCCCACTTTTAATTATTCTTTAACACACTTGAATGCTGAGGCCCCGAGGGAACAGGATTCGGAGGGAACAGAGTCACCTGGATGAGACCTTACCTTCCTTCTCCCCTCCACCTGCTCTGGCTCGCTGCCCTCAAATCCCAGGGTCCATTCTGAACTCCCCTGGCCTCTAGCTCCCCCCCCTCCACCACACTCACGTTAGGGCACACCCCCTCAGCAATTCCTGGGAGCTTCGCAAGCCAAGCTCACTGCCATCTAGACAATTCCAACTCATAGTGACCCTCTAGGATGGTGTGGAGCTGCCCCGGTGGGTTTCCAAGACTGCAACTCTTTACAGGAACACAAAGCCACATCTTTCTCCTACAGAGTGGCTGGTGGTTTCGAACAGCTGACTTGGTGGGTGGTCCCCCAAGGCGTAACCTACTACCCCACCAGAGTTCTGGGAGCTTGGAGGTCCTTATTCTAGGGTGCACAGTGTTGGGCGCCCGCTGGGTTACCCTAAACAAGCAAGCACAGGCTTTGAGTGTGCAAACTCAGGCGTAAAGTTGGGCAGGTCTGACACCATGTGCTCCGTGTGCCACTTGAAGGGGCCCCACCGAGCAGTTTCTATTGAGCATTGCTGTGCCCATCCCTGTGAGAGATCATGCAGCGAGCTACACCAATTCGTTCCCATTTCAGAGGCTGTGGTCTTGCTCTGCTGAGTGCAGACCGAGAAGAAATTGAAGGAGGGAAACTGGCTTCGAACACCTCGGACACCAGTTTTCATCGATGAGAGTAAGGAGAGGGTGGTTGTGCTTTTCGTGCGGCACCATAATAAGTAAAAGAGTCAAGTTTTGAGTTGTAGATTTGAGCTGATAGTATGGAAAAACGATCTCAAAGATGTTTGGACAGGGGTGCAATTCCATTCCGTGTTTGCCTTGGGCGATATTTTCCTGGGCAGGAGGAGACCCAAGGAGAACGATCCCAAGGGCACTAGTACTTGGACTGCGTGCGGCGACCAAGTCCCTTAAGTGATGCCAGCACGGTCCTGAAACCGAGTGTTGGACTTCGCTGGGA